TTAAACTTTAAATGCTTATAAAATAAAATGTTGATTGTTGACTATGGATTTTTAATTTTTTTCATCTGCCTTCGAAACAATATATACTATAGGAGCTTTCTATTAAATTTCCAAGCTTTTTTAACCAACAAATACAATTTTATTGATATTTATAGAAAAAAAAAATCGAAAAAAAATGGAAACTGAAAATGTCTGTAAACAGCTCAAAATAAATCAAAATATTTTGAAAATGTTATGGTGTATAGAAAATGCTAATATCAGTCAAAATGTCATGTACCTATTGTCATTTCAGTCATTTGTTTTAGAGCTGCACCAAAAACCAAAACCGATTTTCTTGAAAACAGATTTTGAGTAAAAATTCCCGTTTTTCCTTAATTTTTCACGTCGTTTTTGAAAACTACTTGAAAATTTTTACTTTTGACCTCCCAAAGTATAAACTAGATTCACTTTCCTATTAGAAAAGATACTTTTGAAGAAAATCTCAGCATTTTTACTGTCCTAAAAGGTGATGACAGACACAAAAATAAGAAAATAATAAATTTAAAAAAAACACACATCATTGTAAAATCAATACATTCATTGCTCAATTGAGAATCAAAAATTTAAAATTTGATTTGAATTTGTTTGGATATATTAAAAATAGCCAATTTGTGAATCTGATTATAAGAACTATTTTGATAATAAAAACATTTATCTAAGTCAATAGTTTATTTTTTAGAATTTTTGAAATATCAATACTTTTTTGATTAAATGAATTTAGAACGTATACGTAAGATATTATAATAACTTTTTTAAAAATATTTTTTTCGGGAATTTGCTGATACGAGTATATTAATTCTTAAATTATTTACTAATCATAAAATGTTAACAATTTTTGTCATACGTTTAAGTAGCATCGTTTTTTTTATCGTCAAGTCTATCTGTTACACCTTGTAACCTACTAACATTTATTGGTCATATTTATTGAATAAAATTTAAAAATGTTGTTTTTAATTTTTAATAAATTAAAATTGACTATTGTATTAATTTTTATAAAATTTACCTAATACACTATAAGTGTTCAATGTTAAATTGTTATAAAACATTTTCGCTCAAAAAAGTCATAAATGCCTCATAGTTATAATTGAATTTAAATGCCCAGAAAATGCAGAACTTATAAGCACCCTCAGTTTTTTTTATTGAAATTGCGCCTATGAGGTATACCTACCCTTTGGTAATACAGTTTTAAAGTAGTAAAGTACAGTAAGTTGAATCTTAATTTGACAAATATTATATTATAAATTAGTTAATGTTATTAAAATTAATCTTATATTCCTGTTTATGAATTCTAACATATTAAATTATTTTTTAACTAAAGTATTAAAAGTAATAAATTAATACAAATATCAATTATATAAGTAAAAGTAATAATTATTAATAACATTATCTAGACGAAAAAAAGTAATAGGTAACACCGTAATTATTTATATTTAGTGGGACGTAATTTCGACAACTACCTATATAGTTAATAAATTTGTTTAGATTTTACTTTAAAATTAAAGTATTAATCATAATTAATGCTTATTTATTTTATTGTAATATAATTTTGATGTCTGATCGGAACAGTAGGTATAACTACTCGTATACGAAATCCATCAATTCATGAAAATTTGTTCATTTCGTGAAGTGGAAACGGTAATTAATATAGGAACTCTGTGACCACAAATACACTTACACAGTGATATACCTAATAGATAAATATTTGTCATTTTAATATAAAAAAATTAAAATAAAAATACTTATCCAAAAAAAACAAAAATGTTACTCTCTTAAGATTACCTACGTTAATTTAAAATTAGAGTGAATCTGTGACATAATATATAAGGCCGGGGGGCGGAGCCCCCACAAAAACGCAAGTATCCTTTATATAAGCTGTTAAATATATAGTAGCATCTAAGCCTCTAGGTATATAGATCACTATAGATAGAAGTGATCTACTTCTACCTATTATACATATAGCCCACCCCAAAAATGATTTCTATATACCTACGCCACTGAAGTAAATTGACTTCTTATAAAATTTAATGTTAAGAATATTATCTAGGATTCTAGGCAATAGCATAGGTTTTGTATTATATTTTAATTTTAAAGCGAGTTATGAGTATTATATGACGTACAATTATATTATATAAGTAGGTATTTGCTTTGGGGATTTTGTATTTTATTTCCTTGGATTTTGTTATCAATATCAATCTATCATTAAATTCAATTTTAAGACATCCGTTAGTTATTACAGTATAAGTAGTAACCCATTCAGGAGCGGATCTAGACGATTTTACCAGGGGGTGCGCAAACAAAAAAAGGTGTGCAAGTGGGTGTCTCTCTGCTGTACAGTAGGTTACAATTGGATCAATGTAGTCTGTAATGGATAGTGTTAAATTTGAATTCAATGATATAATATCATTGTGGTATAAGATAAACGATTCTAAGCGAAGATAGTCAGTCAGGCTATAATATTACTAAGTATATTTGATGAGATTTTTGTGAATAAAGTAATTTATTTACCTATTTACGTGGAACTTTGTTTTAAATTGTCAATCTTTAGCTATAAAAGCTAAACATTTTATACATTTTTAACTACAAAATTATTTTAAGATTCAAAATTAGACACATTTTGTCAAAATTCGAACTTTCAATGCTTATAAAAAAAATTGTGACTGTATATTTAATATTTTTCAAATGTCATTGTAACAATATGTTAAGAGACTTGTACTAAAATGTCAAGCTTTTTTACCCAAAAAATAAAATTTCATTGGCAATCATAGAAAAAAACTAAAAAAACTGAAAATGTATTATGTCCGTAAACATCTCAAAACAAGTCAAAATATTTTGATTGTGTGAATTTTATCGTGTACAGAAATTATTGATAATATAAACATTCAGTGAAAATTGCATGAACCTACGGTTATTTGTTTTGGGTTACACCAAAAACCAAAATTGATTTTGTCGAAAACTGATTTTGCTTAAAAATTCCCGTTTTTCCTTGATTTTTATTTTGTTATCTAGGCGCTTTTGAAACTATTGGAATTTTAAATGTTGACCTTCTGAATGAACCAACTGTATTCACTTTCCCATCGATTGAGATAGGTAGGTACTGTTGAAGAAAATTTAAGTAGTTTTACTGCCCCGAATACAGTGATGACAAAAACAAAAACAAAAAAAATTATAAATTAATAAAAAAACATATCATCCACATATCGCTCCGCTCAGAATGTAAAAAAAATTGTTACACCTTTCTATTTTAGAATTTTGAATACAAATGTATTTTATTAGTGGCAAAGTGTGTCTTAGACGACAGGGGGTGCCCGAGCACCCATAGCCCCCCCCCCCTGAATCCGCGCCTGAACCCATTCGACGCCAACTGTACAGCAGGGTGGTTCCCACTAATTGGCCACCTCAAGTATTTTGAACTAAATTCAATTCGCTCCCAGAAACGAGCCTCAAAGTTGATAATAGTTGTTTTATGAGTCATTTTACTGCTCCAAAAGATAATGAGATGGATAAAAAAAACATTATCTTCGTAAACATGGGTGGGTAGGTACTTTCTTACTGGGATATATGTATTTGGACCTAATGTAACCATATATATATATATATTATTTAGGAATATAGGGCTTGTATGTATAAAAAATACCGATCACTTAGCTCGAAATGCATATTTTTTAACTTAAAACTCATAAGTCATAAGTCATAACTATGTGGTCTGGGATTTCGATGCACTTTGCATTGTATTCCAAAGCGCCAAAGCTACCAACGCAATTTATAATATGTATAGGTACCCACCTACGTTTCATGTGTTTTCGAATCATAATAAGAAGTCTAATTTTGCATTTTTTACAATTTTAAATTTTATTTGTTAAAGTCATTGTTTTTATATTTTTTCTAGCATTTTAGGGCATTTATACCTCTAAATAGCTTATTTAATAGATAGACCTAACAGAATTATGAAATTTGATGTATAGGTATCTATAATAACCCTTGTTGGTATTTAATTGGTATTCCTTAATCTTTTTATTGATTGGTTACCTACAACGTAACAATGTTATCGACATAACAGCAGTGGTTGAATTGGGGGGGGACGCGGGGGGACGGAGTCCAACTTCTATTTTTAAAATATTTTAGCGTACCCCTTCTAATTTCAAGAATTGATAAGACATTTAAATGTTGGGGGGACGCACAAATGTTTTATACTTTTGCATACCCCTTCTATTTTTTTTCCAATTCAAGCACTGCATAACAGCTAATAAAATATATCATAATATATAATATAACACAACTAACTACCAAGTCAGTAGTTGCAAACTATAGTCTAGACTCTATAAGTATAAATTACAATAAGTACTAAGATTACTAAGAACTTTATTGTTCTTTATAATCGTGCCATTAGCACATAATAGATTTCATCTGTTCTGTGGGCTGTGGTATACGTGTACAACTACCGAACAGTAAATACGGGAATATGCATTATGCATTCTTCTCTTGAGTCGTCTCGTTCGTACGGACTTAACGCATTACGCAATTAATTCTCAAAACATACAGACAATTAGACAAACAAATTTGTTTTCGAAGTCGATTTTATCACTCAATCGTCCAATCGCGATTCGCGACTCACGAGTGGGCAGTGGCTCACGTAGTTGGCAACTCGGTACACCGTCAATACCGGCCAGCCAAATATTAAAATACACAATATCGTATTGTCCGTAGTTGTACCCGGTTATTGGTTAATGGTTATAATCCTTTGTCTTTCACCATAGACCTATTAAGAATCCCTCCATTATTTTCTCTACCGCGGTTCGGTCTTCGTTAATTGGTTGTTGTCTTTGTTCACTGTTTGGCCGTTCGACCCTCGACGTTCGCGTAGCATTTTATTTCGGTCTTTATTACTGCCCAGTTGCCCACGTGGTTAGCGGCAAGCCAAGCGAAATTTCGACGGTCAATAACGTATTTTTAACGTGTCCGACATGGCATACCTCAACGGAGGCCCTATGCCATATTCTCACTACTTCGATCGGCTAAAGAAGCGTAACGTGCTGTACGAACTGCAGTCTGCCGACAACAAGTTTTTGTTCACGCGCTCACTGCTCGCAGAAAAAGGCATGTTGCCCACGACATTGGATCGATCATTGGTGTGCGCCCAGTTGGAAGACCCTTGGAATACCGACCCATGGAAGACGGATTTTAAACATGGCCTCGTGCTTTCCGGGAATAAGCAATATAAGGAAGCCGCCAAGCAGTTTTCTCAGTCCATAGTCGACAGCGAGCCGGGAACCGCTAACCACTCGCTAGCCATGTTTAACCGGGCAGTAGTGCTCTACGAATTGGGTCAGTTCACACGTAGCTTGATGGACGTGCGCCAGGCCCTGGAGTCCAAGTACCCGCCCGTGATGGAACACTTGTTGTATGAGTTTGCCGGAATGGTGTACAGCACATTGGGCCGCCGCAAGGAGGCTGAGCAGAGCTACGCTGAGTGCTTGCGAAGGTTGGACGCCTCGGACCTGACCTCTGAAGCGAAAAGAAATTTCAGGCTGAAGATCATGGACGCCGTGGACAAGTGCAAGGACTGCAAGGGTGCTGTGTCGGACTTGGACATTTCGGACGATTCGGACTTGGAAAACCCGTTGCCCGACCAGCTGGTGGGTGGCAAAAACAAGAGCATTCCGGCGCTATCGGCTTTTTTGGAACTCAAGCCGTCCCAAAATATGGGACGAGGAGGTGTTTACGCCACTCGCGACATAAACCCAGGTAATACCTAGTTAGAAATTCATAAATAATTATAGGTACCCGGGCTGTGTTGGGTGGTAACGTAACGCAAATTAATAATTAAAATATAAAAATAATGTCTGATAATGCGAATGTAATTTAAATAACAATATTAATGATTAGTGTAATTTTTATACTGTTCAAAAGTAATTTACCCATAAGCGCAACAAGGGGGGGGGGAAATGGAATTAGGTACCTATCTAATTTTTATTTAAAATTTACAATTATTTTATAATGCCTATGATAAATATCATTAGCTGTATGCCTGTATTTGTTTTAAGGAAACAATTTATGTAGGTATATTGGAAAGATTATTATAAACAATTTTAATAAAATACATGCACTGAACTATAGTATAGACTATAGAGACACTGAATTGCGGGATAAAAATCCCCGACCCTAGGCAAAATAGCCCCCAGACTACAATGTTACTGATAACTAGGCACATGAAATTGATTGATAAATTATTTTTAAAAGTTAAATTGTGTAATTATCATATTATTAATATTTAATTATAATTATATTATACGTTTTACTAGTAGTATAGTATGCCTACTTTCATTAAAAAAATTAAAATATAATAAATAAATTTCAAAAATGAACAATAATATTATTATTTTTATATCACAATTTTAAACAACATTATATTAATAATCTTTTTAAAAGATTAGATACCTTACTTACATTTGTTGATTATTGATTTGATAATTACTTAGATTATTTGACATATTGATCATTCGAAATATTTTTATTTTTTATTTCATAATCTTTTAAATATTTTATCTATAAGTAAAACTTGTAAAATCAACTTCTAATAATAATAATAATTATTATTAATAAATATTTCACATTTTGCTTATCGTCAAAATATTATTAGAAAATGTAATAATTTATTTTGGAGATATATTATAATTTATAATATTTACAGGGGCGGATTGGGCCACCGGGAATTCGGGAGTTTTCCCGGTGGGCCGCTTTTTTTCAAATAACTATGTATTCTTAAATTCCTATTAGGTACCAGCCCAGTAAATTTGCATTTCTTTTCCGATTTTTCAAAATAAGATAATACAAATTGGATTGAGGACAGTATGCAATAGTAGGTATATCAGGTAGGCAATCTACCTACGGTGGATTGCTGACACAACGATGAGAGACAGAAAGCAAAAATATAGTATTTTTCGAAAAGCAAAAACAGCAAATGTAATATAGCGGGGTCACTAGTTAGGACAGTTAAAATCGAAAACAACCCTTGATATGTTATGTAAAACCACATTAGGTGATCTCTAGGTAACGACAAACTTCGGGAAAAGTCTGCTTTACTTGACATCCCGCGGAAGTAGAAAATAGAAAAAGTCAACCTTCAGATTTGAGCAGTAATCACTGTAATATCGAAAACTATGATTAAAATATTATTGAATAATAGGGAAGTAACATTACGCAGGTATACAATAATTTGTATAATATTTAGCTGATTGGTGAGTACAGATATAGTGAACGATAATTTGTTAGATTGTACTAAGACGGAGACAAAACATTTTACTCAACATTACATTACATAAAAATACTAAAGAAAAAGAAGACTATACAATTTTTCTGGTTGTTTAGAATTGAAGTACCTACATAATGTTATTATGAATAAACCACAGTAAAACATTTTTTTAGAAAATAAAAAGATACACATACATTTTGCATGTTGATTCTGTTAATTTACCTATCAGGTATATTAAGTGGAAGTAAATTATAAGCTTTTTATTTAAGTCTAAAAACGCATTATTAAATATTATTGAATAGCTAATAACCTTTCTTATTAAATATAAAAATCGTAACATTAGTAATTTAAATTATTCACTTTTACTGGTTTATATATAAGTACTTGGAGTTTGGATTATTATAAATGTGTAAACATAAACTGTTCAAAAATAAAAATAAATTTGATATCGATGTATATACACTACGAATAAAGTTTTATAAATTTCATATCTCGCCAAACGTGTAGTTATGTTAAAATAGTAATACATAATAATATCATGTTGGCTAAAATTAAATATTTGGTAAATTGGTAAGTGGGCCGGTATACTTTGTATTTTCCCGGGCTGAAATCTCGCCCCAATCCGCCCCTGAATATTTATAATATTATATAATATAAAAAAAATTAATATTGTTAATGTCTGAACATTATAATATAAATTTTAAGAAATATGTTAAATTTTATTAAATATAAGTAGGTAAATACCGGTAAATACCTACCTACCTATCTACCTATATATTTAAACTTTGAATTAAAGATTGGTTTTTTAATTTAATTTTTCTTTTATCTGTACTTGATTTTTAATTTTGTTAATGATATATAATATGTATAATGTATAGTGTACACCTATATTGTTAGTATAATATATTTGTAATTAAATATTATCCATGTGTTACTTACACTGATTATAACGTTTAAAAAATATTTGCTCCATCATTTTCATGTGTTTGTGAGTAATATAAACTAATATTGTAATCCGGGGATTTTTATTTTGATTACTACAAATATAGTATATCTACTACCTATTACTGTGAAAAATGAAATTTGAGTAAATAAATACACTTTTTTGTATGATTTTCTTAATATTTTTATGTGAATAAATTTGGGGGTGTGGGGGCTTTGCCACCACGCGTTACTTTTCATGTAATATCAGGTGGTAAACCCCAACACTTTAGCCTTAGTTGCATGATTTCCAACACTGTATCCAGGCTATCTTTTGTACTTAACAAAATGTTAGGTACCTACAAGGCATAAAGTAGGAAAAAATTCCATAGGAGACTAATGTCTCCATATAGTCTTGAGCGTTCCATACATAATTTTATGTATGATGTTTAATGTAAAGAATCCTAATTTGTTAAATGGGACGCTTTTTAACCGCCGTCCTTGGTAAGGGGACTGAGTACCCCTGGGTACCTATGGTTAAAATTAAGAAGAAAATATTGTCCTGGGTAATTTTACAATCCAAGTAAGGTAGGTTCCAAGGTACATTACCCTGCAGCATGGGTCTGGGAACACTGATCTTGTCAAGACCCATTGTTGACGCGGGTCGCGAGACGCCCTGTTTTTTAATAAGCAATATTTATTTGTGATATTAATTTATTTTCAGGAGATGTTGTGGCCATAGATGAACCTTACATTTACGGGGGACGGAATTTACACAATTCTTGTTGTCGTAATTGCCTGAAATCGCCTATAGTCCCAATACCCTGTAAAAGATGTTCATTGGTACGTTTTTTTTAACAATCAAACTTCATAAATATACATACAATTTTATTTAGTGGTTAATTAATTTTATAATAAAATGTATATAATATTTACAAATGTAAATATTAGAAGGACATTAAGAATATTATTATAAAATAATAAGTTTTTAATTGAAAGAAAATATCATATATAGTTATGATTCTTAAAATGGTTTTTATAATAATATTCTTAATGTCCTTCTAATATTTACATTTGTAAATATTATATACATTTTATTATAAAATTAATTAACCACCAAATAAGCATATTATGCTTTAAATTAAGTCTATACATTTCTTCCATGTTTTCATATCTTAAACAAAATAATATTAATTTACATATTTTGTACAGGTTTATTACTGCAGTGAAAATTGTTTGCATAAATCAATGAAAGATGGACACAATTTGGAGTGTCCAATTATTTTTTTTATCAGATCATTGCCAGGAATATCTCATTTGAATCAAGTCGCTTTGAAGTGGTTTGTAAAAGAATTATCAAAACTGGGTTTGGAAAAATATTGTTCGTTGGTAGATACATTTTCTAAATCTAAAATAGATTCGAAGATAAAGGGTTTTAATGAGAACGGGCAATATAAGTCTGACAATTTTTTAACGGCCTATTCTTTGGATAACTTTGAAGATGAAATGCCAATATATTTATTGTTTTAGATTCTGAGTGAAACGATGAATGTATTGATTTTACAATGATGTGTGTTTTTTTTATTTTTTTTTTATTTTTTTTTTTATTTTTTTTTTTATTTTTTTTTTTATTTTTTTATTTTTTTTTGTGTCTGTCATCACGTTTTAGGACAGTAAAAGTGCTTGGATTTTCTTCATCAGTAGCTTTTCTGATAGGAAAGTGAATCTAGTTGGTACTTTGGGGGGTCAAAAGTATAAATTTCCCAGTAGTTTTCACAAGCGCCGGGAAAAACAACATAAAAATTAAGGAAAAACGGGAATTTTTACGCAAAATTGGTTTTCCAAAAAATCGATTTTGGTTTTTGGTGTAACTCTGAAACAAATGAACGTATATACATGAAATTTTCACTGGTTGTTTATATTTGCATTTTCTATACACGATAACATTTTCAAAATATTTTGATTTATTTTGAACTGTTTAGGGACATTTTCATTTTCCATTTTTTTTTAGTTTTTTTTCTAAAAATATCAATAAAATTTTATTTGTTGGTTGCGAAAGCTTGAAAATTTAATAGAAGGCTCCTAATATATTGCTTCAAAGGCAGATGAAAAATATTAAAAATCCTTAGTCACAATTTTTTTTTATAAGCATTTAAAGTTCAAAAATTGACAAAATATGGGAAAATCACGAAAATTAGCAAATTATTTTGAGTTAAGAATTCGTAAAAATTTTTCTTTTTAAATCTAAGATTTGAAAATTAAACACAAGATTCCTTATAAGTTTGTCTACCTTTATCAAAAGAAAAATGTTTATAAGAAAGTCAAATTAAATTTTTATGAGCGTTTGAAATTCAAATTTTTACAACATTGAATATTCACTCGATTTCCCATGTAGCGATTTCCTTATTTTGTTGTAATTCAAAAACAAATAACTGTAGATACATGAAAATTTCACTGAATGTTTAAATTAGCATTTTCTATACACCATACAATTTTGAAAATATTTTGACTCTTTTTGAGCTGTTTATGGACATTTACAGCTTTCAATTTTTTTTAGTTTTTTTTTCTATAAATATCAATAAAGTTTTATCTGTTGGGCCAAAAAGTGTAAAAATTTAATACAAGGCTCCTGATATATTGTTATAATATCAGTTGAAAAATATTAAAAATACATAGGCACAGTTTTTTTTTATAAGCATTTAAAGATCAAATTTTGACAAAATTTATCAAAATCTCGAAAATTATCAATCATTGTAATTAATAAATTATAAAATGTTCAGTTTTTATAGCTAAGGATTGCAAATTCAACACAAAGGTTCTCGTAAATAGTTCATACTGTAACCAAAAAATCTAAAAAATATATGAACACAGTTATTTTTTACAGACATTTTAAATTCAAATTTGGACGAAATTACATATTAAAAAACCTAGAATAACTATTTTAGTTATTTTGTTGTGATTGAATAATATTATTCGTGGATACTTGAAACTTCTAAAGTGTACTATTATATATCTATGATAGTATCACGGTTTTTGTTGATGTATAACGCGTTATAAGTACCTAATGGATATTTTGATATGATTAATTTGGAATTTATTATAGGTACCCATTATAGGTCAATTTTTTGTTTAATACCATAGATATGTATATAATATGTCTTATACATAGACTGACATACCGTCTGCGCTCAGAATCGTTTTTCTTATACAATGATATTATATCGTTGAATTCAAATTTAATATCATCCATTATACAGTGACCCACTTGTAACCTACTGTACAGCAGAGCGACACCCACTTGCCCACCTTTTTTTTTAACTGTATTGCTGCTGAAATCTTAGAGTATTTGATGTTAAGTGGATTCAAAATTGAAGAACGCTATTTAGGTATTGTAGGTACTTCTTTGGTACGCATCCTAAGTGTTTTAGATTTAAACGCCAGAAAAATAAAAATCAATGCCCCAAACATGGTGTCTTTAAAAGGTTCATTATTACAAAGTAATATCTATCTAAGTTTTCCAATGGCAATAGCTTTGTATCCAAGTCTTGCTTTATTCAACCATTCTTGTGATCCAAATATTCAACGAAGTGGAAAAATCTCTACAAAAACAAGAGTAATTAAAGCAATCGAACCAATTCCCAAAGGAAATCAGGTGACTAAATCTTTTTTATTATTATTATAATTATTTTTTTTTTAGAAGATAGATTATTTCATGGCATTGTCATAGGTGCTATACTCTATTCAGAATAACCTTGTCCACTATAGCGCATCCAACTGAGCCGACAGCAGCCGTCTGCCCCCTGGCGAGTGTCTGGTTCATATGATTGGTCGTTAGTTGTCGACTGTTGCCATTACCCGTTGCTATCGACAGCTTCCGCTGTGCATACAGACAATTATAATAAAACAATCGTAATAGTTATTACCTATAGTGTTATGATGTATACCTTTTTCCTTTACTACGTTTACCTTATTGTTCTGCACCAAACACAGTGCTATATTATTGTTCTCTACGTAGCCACAACATCAGTGATCATCGTTACAACAGACATGCACAATCGAGAAGAGTTTTTGTAGATCGAGTTGACAAGCGTAATCTGAATAGAGTAAATGCTACTATTAAGGAAAAATGTATAACAATGCTAAATGATATGTACATATTTATTTATTTTATCTTTTTCTGTATAAATTAGTTGTATGAGGTACCTATTTTAAAATAAGTAACACTCTTTATCAAATTAAAGTTAAAAGACTAGTCTGTGCTTTGAATTATTTAATGGTCTTATTTCCTAGTTTCTCTATTGCCGTAAACTCTAATATCACTACAGTACAACATATCTATTACTACATTTTCAATGGCCTATCAAAATCATATTTTTGATTTTAAATAATTAACTTTATATCTGATATTTATGTATTTGATTATGTGAAATTTCTTAATTCAACTAAAAGTTATACTTATAGTTAGGTACCTACCTACTTTATTTACATTAATTAATGAATTACTGTTATTTGTCAATTTTTTGTGTTAAATTTCTTAAAGGGTGTAGGTAACACTAACATAATAAATATTTATAATAAAAGTTAAATTTGTCTAAACATTCCTTTTTGAGATCATTTATCACACAATTTTTCACCATAATCTTTATATTAACATTTAATGTGTTTGTTTCATACGTTTTTATTGTTATTTTAGTTATTCTTTAAGTATGGAAAGGTAATATTGAAAGATGAGATGACAAAAGAAGATAAACAAAAGATTTTCCAGGATAATTTCGAGTTTGAATGCTCCCGCCAATGTTGCGCTTGGTCACAAAATCAATCCATACCATATGGTCCTTCTGAAATGTATGCTATATACTTACATATTTTATTTGTGATAAACCTATTTATAATAAATAATATGATTATCGATATATTGACAGAAATATCTTAAACCCTAGTATGGCAGATACTGTGATAAAGGAGTGCAAGCGATTTGAAGAATTTTTAGAAAATGTGGGCTATGATGAGTATCATTGTCATTTAGAATATCTTTATGGCTTTATTAAGCTTTTATTTACTAATGTAAAACGACCATTTGGATTGTATCATAAGTGTCTTCGCATAATAAATCAAGCACATACAGGATTAAAATATCCAATTAAATTTTTAGATTAACAATTATTAACATGTATATAATTGTTGGTTTATATTATCATCAATTTTTTCTTTTACTATTATAACAGGATACATTTTTATTTAATAATTTAAATTTTTTAACTGTAACCAGGTAATTTTTTTTTTTTAACAAGATGTTTTTTATTTTACTATTATAACAGGATACATTTTTATTTAATAATTTAAATTTTTTAACTGTAACCAGGTAATTTTTTTTTTTTTAACAAGATGTTTTTTATTTTTTAATCATAATAAGATAATTTTTTTATTATAATTATTATTAGAAACTATTAGTATTAAAAGTTATTACAAACAAAGAAAAATAATTATTAACATGTTTTATATTATATTCATCTTGACGTTTAGTATGTCTAAATTTGTATTACTCTATGGTAGCAAATACTGAATTCTAAATACTTTGGCATAATGTTAGCACATTAAAAATAGTCCGAAAAAACAAAACATTAAACTTATGATAAAAAAGAATTTAATAATTTGTGCCAAATTTAAAATAAATTGGTGAGGCTAGGCAACCCTTGATCTTTGGTGTTCTATTACATTTAGGCAAATATTTTTATCAGAATAATTATGAAGATACTAGCTTTTTAGTATTAAAAAACAACCTTAGTAAACCCAAATAGGTACCCAAATAGTAGCATACTTATAAGCAGTTTAAAATAGCTTTTTTGCATTGAAACGTATGTGTAACATGCTGACATGAATGCTCATTAAGTATTAATATGCTATTTAATATGTATATTACTATATTAGAATATCACGTAGTATTCTTTCAAATGACTTAATTTATTACTATGCAAAGGACGAATATCAAGTACTGTGCCAGGTACTTAATTTTTTTTTTTATATGTTGGTTTATTAGCTATTAGTGCTTATTACATACCAACCATGCATTTCAGTAACATATATTATTAGAGAATTATGGTATAGTTGAAGTTATTTTTCATAAGACAAGTTAAATAAGTTTAAAATTTAACCTATGAATACCAAAGATATTTTTGATTCTTTTGGAGTATTATTTATTATATTTATATGATGACATTTCTATATCCTACTCAATGCCAATGAAACAATACACACTATTATATTATATTTATCTATGTTAACTTGAACTAATGATATAGTGCAATCATCATAAATAATGTTGACAAATATATACCAATTAACTAAAATTCTATAATGTAAATATGTTATAGAAGAGAAAATATTCTAATTAAATGGATTATTAATTGAACATATTTTCTTTCCTAAAAATAATATTAGATTAAAATTATATTGGCCACACCTCACCAATACACATTGTTTAGTAGAGGAGATGGCTCAACCTCATAAAATGCATTGAGTAAAATCAAATATGAAATGTTTTCCATCTCTTAAAAAGTTTGAAGAAAAAATAATACTTCTCAGAGTTATTTAATTGAACTAGAATAACCTTAAAACATACTTTGGAATCACTTCTAACAAATAGCAAAATGTCTTTCTTTAAATAAATATTCAACCAAAATAAAACTTATTCTGATTTCAGGAAAACAGTTCATTCAGTTTAAAAGTACACCGGGCAGCAGACGAAAACTCGTTGTGTCCGCGCATGTCTCCCCGTTTCTGGTTATCAATGCCGATGTCCGCCCATCGATCATCCCCCACCACTGCTACAATCACTTGACAATGCCAGCAGCATAAAACTGTAATTGTAGGGGGGGGGGAATGGCAACATACAGCAGTCAGTAGCAAAATATGCACAAACTGGTGTACTGATAAACTGAATAGACTATAGGTCTATAGATAAAGATGTTATACAATACACAATTATTATAACGAGCATAATATAATATGTATAAGTAATTGTAAAAAAAAAAGTTGTATTACAGTAAATCATGAATTGTTAGTAATTAAGTATAAAACAAAAATACATCATTGAGCAAACCTCATTCATCAAATTTGACTGAATAAATATTAAAACTAACCGAATTTAAATGGCTATAATTTAAATAAAATCAAATAGAACTACTGACTAGATAATTTTAATAAACTTAAGCTAAATTAATTTTTTTTTAAACAATAACAAAAAATATTATTTATGTATCATCTGATATAAGTAGTAGTATAATTCACATTTATGATTAAGATGTCAACATAATATGTAAGTATGTAAGAACATAATATGAATATATTCAATGTTAAAAATATTCTTCTAATGTTCTTTCAAAAAATATACCTAAAACAAATGTTTGCTAAACAAAAACCATTCTAATGACCACATGCATTGTCAGTTTATGTGTCACATAAGACATGTTAAAATTGTTTATTGACACATACATTGACTATGCATACGGACATAAATGTCACAAAAATATCATAAAAACTATTCTAAAACATCAAACAAAAATTGGTGCAGTTCAAATAAATCAATTTACAGTATAAATGTATGTAAGTTATTTCAAAGATAATAGTATACAATATACTTAATGAAAACAATAAATACTTAAACATAAGTAAAATCAAAGATAAAAAAAAACTAAAGATTTTAAAGAATAAAATTGTAAAATAAAATTATTTTTACAAGATACAAGATGGTATTGCTTAAAATATTTAAGTTATTTTTCGTATATAATATGTATTACTGTACAACACAGTTCTTATTTTGATGAATTAGACCAGATCTATTGAGATCCCTCACAATTTTATCATCTTCTTCAATTCTGAAAATGTATTATTAATAATATTTTATTAATTTATTTTAATTTATAAATATTTCAAAATGTCAAAAAATACTTACGCCCTTTCTTGAGAATCTAAATGATGAACTAACTCATCCCGTTTATTGACAATAGTTACTAATTCTGCCAACAATAAATTCTCACGACGTCTTTGCTCTTCTGTCTTTTGCCAATCTAAAAATTAATTAAATTTAATACTTGAACGATTTTTTCTATCTGTTAAATAGTTAAATCATACCTTCAATTGCAATTATACTTCGAAGTTCCCCAATAAGTAATTGGTATCTTCTCTCCAAATCGTCTTCTTTTTCTCTATAAAACATATAATTATTATTGTCTTTTATTGGAAATCAATTAAATCACCATCATTATCATTTCAATTTAAAAATATACTATCAGTTATTTTAATATACATATATTAATTTTTGTAGTTTTTCCAGGGCTTTGCGCTTGAAATCCTTAAAACATCTATTATAAAAATATCATGTGATAGGGGTTTTTTTTACATGTAAGCGATTAAGTATTAATTTGAGTCATTTTAGGAAATACCTCGATAAATAAGTACTGAACCAATTGAATTTATAAGACATGTAATATATTGAGTGCTGGATTATTTTATCCAGGAGCAATGTGCCTAGAGGGTTTTAATTTCGAACCATATAAGGGGCAGACGCTTATAAGTTTCTGTTGAAAGTGCCAAAATGTTGAATGATGAATGTAACCATTTTAAATACATGCACTGGATATGCTATTTTTTCATCATATAAAATGTTATCAGAAATAATTTTTGTGAATTGCCTTGATTTTGAATAGCTCTCTTATAAATTATAATACTAGTACAACAATATTTTGATTGACTTATAATGGTTAAGTTACTATACTATTTCTGTTTACACATTTTCTATTAACTATTGAACTATGAACAAAAAGTATGATATTAAGTATTAATTCCAATGACATTCTTCTTGATGTTCTAAATATTATGTGTTACAATTTAAATCTATTAAAAACTACTTTTACCCAATGTTTAACTACTTCAGTTTCTTAAAAAATTAAGAAATATTCAAAATATTTGGAAAGAAAATGGGAAAAACATAAAGATATTAGACTTGTACAGTATGGTTTGTATGGTCTGTACAGCTATTGAATGCTATTATATTGCTTTATAATTATAAAAAAGTTTTGTTCTTCAATTTTAACTTTACTTCTAATGCAGATGGGATAGAACATATTTTGTGTTCAGACAGAGAAGATGTAGTAGAAATAATACAGTAACAATCTCACAAATACAAATGTATTTAGTGTACCAGTGTCAGGCAAGAAATTCTACGATTAATCAATGAATAAAGTTTATAACAATTATATATAAACTTTAAAACCCATACATTTAAATAAATATTCATGATGCATACATTTGTAAATATATGTATAATACAATATTCTATAATAATTTTAAATAGGTAGATCTTAAAAATAATTAAGCTAATCAAAATTAATCATGTTTAATGATGGAATATTATTAATTTCACTAACTAGTTATTTTCATGGCCAAATTGTATTTATTTTATCATAAATTATGCATAATAATTTAGCATTAACAAATTCAATGAATGTATATTTATTTATTTTATTGACATTTATTAAAATTAATCAATATAAACTAAATAATTGGATAGTTATAGTTTTTATGCCCAACAGAGAATGAAACCATGTTATAATGATAAAAGAATTATTGATAAAAAGAGTAGTTTTTTCCATATTATGTTTGTCTGTTTTATTAGTAGTCTTTTTAGACATTTCAACTGGTATTCAAAAAACCTTAAACATAAGAGTGAAAATAAAATATATTTAAATAATGGCAATTAGATTTAATTAAGAACCTTTTAAAATATTAAACTGTGAAGTTATAATATTAAATTAAATATAATATATTACTATGTCTATTGTCAATGCTTACAAAATGTTTAACTGCATTTGGCGACGCAATAATGCATTTTTCTTATTAACAAGTGTAAACCATTCTGTCATAAGAAATTCTTCCCGTTCTCGATCATTTCCTATAGTGAATAAATATAATGAATAAAAAAATACGCTAATCCAACATACATTTAAATATCCAATAAAAATGTCAATTCATAAATACATTTTGTTTCTTTACCTGTATTCATAACTCTTCTTAGTTCTACTTCTAGTTCATCAGCTTGACAATCAATTTGTTTCTGTTCACGTTCTAAAGATTCCATTTCATTTTGAATGTAATTGATTTCATTCTTAAAAGTCTATCAGCATATAACAAGAACAATTATTTAAAATAAAATCCTTAATCATGTTTCCTTATATCTTACATCTTTTGATACAGAACTGGCATCCAATAAAGATGTGAAAGATTGCAATTTCTGAGGGCTACTCGAATCTAAAGCTAAATTACTGCTATTTTTACTGGACTCAAATGACTATTCAAAATATATATAATTATAAATCATAATGTTAACATTTTTAATAGATATAAAATATTATACCTTGTCAAGGTTGAACAAACTAGTTTGAGATCTGTCTGAAACTGGGGATACTGAACTTCGAGCACTTCCATTATTTAGACTTGTAATTGGAGACGATGAGGTTGAAACATTAATATTTTTACGTGCCTCTGCTATTAATTTTTTAGCACGATCTCTTAACTGCTGCTGTCTTTCTTCTTCATTCTGAGATAAATAAGTGATAGTATGTATTAAATAGTTCAAAACTTACTTCTTTGATATATTTTTATTTTTTTAACATAATTTTTATTTTATAAATCAATATACTTGTATATGTTTATTTAAAACTAATAATTTTTATAGCATTCAAATATTATATGCAAGAGAAACAAAAGAACAATGTTATTTTCACCAACCTGACTAGGTAATTGAGGCACAGATCGTCTAGCAGCTTCTCGGCGGGCTTGTTCTACAAGCTGACGAGCTCTTTCTCTAAGCTCAACGTGTCGATTAGTTGTTACATTCTACACACATACAAATAAAAATCATGCAGCTCTCAATCATATTAATAACAACAAAAATTAATTAGTAATTAACAAAATATTAATTATTATTTTAAATGTTAAGTATTCTATAAAATATATATTATTTTTGAAAAATAAGATATCTTGAACATCCAGTTAAGGATTTTATTCATTTAAGATCCTGAACGGGAGTGCTAAAACTTTACTTTAAACAAGATGTTAATATTTATACTTCTAAGAGAAATCATAGAAGTATTTCAAAATATCAACCATGTATAACCAAAAATAACCAATATAACCATGTGGAATAGAGAAACCTTAGGATTGTATTTGAATTAATTATTTTAACTTCCACAGTTATAGCAAAGAAAAACCAGGTGGTATGGTATAGATAAACAAATTACATTTAATTATACATCCATAAATCTATATTTTTAATAAAATGTGTTAGATATTAATTTGATGTCTATTCTAATTTTAGTTTTTTTTTTTTATGGGAAATTACCTATAGTATTAATCAAAACATCATAAAATAAATGTTATTTAATTTGACACTTAACAAGCTAAATATATATAATTTTTGTTTAATATAATATAAATTTTTATAATAGATATAAATATACCTGTTTAGAAGAAACGTGATTTTTATAGGTTTCCTGTAATGACTTTGGTTCACTAGTCCTGTCACCTGAGCTTGAACTTTTTAAGCTCTAAACAAAATGCAACCACATATAAATTTAATTACTTTTGTTACAAATAAAACTTCATACCTCACTAGTTGATAGAGATCTTGTTAACTTTTTACTTCTTTCACTAGAAACTAGGGATAAGCTGCAATTTGAAATAAAAAAGTTTATATATATATATATATACATTTAAAAAAATAATTCAATATATCATACGTATCATCATTAGAAATTATAGGATCGGTAAGTTGCCTTTTAGTTATCTGAGATGATTTTGATGATTTCACCTAGTTAAAACATTTAAAATTTTTAAATACAGTTATTAGTTGTAGGATGTACCAATAGAAATATTTCTTAAACATACCTTTGGAAAAGATAATTTTTCTTTAGATGGAGATAATACTTTGTCAAAAATACTTTTTGAACCATTTAAAATTTTATCTGTAATATTATCTTTTGTAGATGCTATTGAGGAATATCCATTATTCAGATCATCAGTTATATTATCTTTTTTACTAAAAATGTAATAAATAGATTAGATACCAAATCTGTGAAAGAAAATACTATTTGACTAAAAATATTACTTTTTAATGTTTCCAAATGAATTTTGGTCTTTATCATTAGAATCATTAGTTCTAAAAATCTCTTTTTCAAATAATTGAAAAGATATATCTCTATCAGGATTATTAAATCGGCCAATCATATATGATGATTCATCTGCTGTTTTACCAATTTGCTGAACTTCTAATTCATGACCTAAGACAAATTTAAATTGGTAGTAATGCATAGTAATCATTAAAAATGAACTATTTACCAGTAAAATGAGCTCTTAATTGATATAGATATGTCATAACAGCTAATTTATCAGGAATTGTAAGAACGCCCATATCAGAAGGTTCAATTACACGGGATATACCCAATAGTTCTCCGGCATCAAAAGCAGCTTTACAGTTTCCTCTAATATCGTGAGGTTTTAGTGCATCAAATTCTCTGAAATTTTAGCACACATTTATAAATTTTTATAATGGATACAAATTTAAATATACATTTAATAATAATAATCTTGTCTTTTAAACAGTTTTGTTGAAAAAAATTGTATTTATCAAGATAAAAACCAAAAATTATTAGTTTTATTAGAGTACCTTAGAGGTTATATGTATAGTTCCTAAATTTTTACTCAAAATAGAAAAGTAAAAAGCTTAGGTATTTTTAATATTGTAAAAAGTTATTTATTTTGGAGAACTAGTATTATTTTGTTTATTGTAAAATAGATGTACCTAATAATAAATTAATTTACATTAGTTAAAAAATTATAGTTCTATTGTTCAGATAATGATACAATGTCTCAACTATCTGGAAGTGAATACTTTAATTATTCATAAATATAAATTGAGCTTGAGTTCTTCTCACACCAAATGATGTATAGAAAGGCTCATGTTTGTATGTAGCAATTAAATGTGATATTTGTATATATACTTTGTAGAACCCATTATTTTAAAAGCCTTTAAATACTGTAGAAAATTTAATGCTCATGAATTACGATTACATAAAAACAGAAAAATAAATAATTTTAAATTATCTCACATAATATCTGGACGGAAGTAATGAATAATAGCACAAAAGGCAAGGCCGTTTCTCCAAGATGTTGTAAGATTGGTAACTTTTACACCAGGATATCCTTTAGTAATGTCTTTACACCATTCAAGTAGATCTTGACCAGGTGTAGTAGTTTCAGTACCTTTAGAACCACTATCAGTATGAATCTGAAAACAATAATTACTATAAGTGATGTATAATATATAGTATATAATATATTCAAAAACAACTCTATGGTTAAAATACTTATAAATAATTTAATCGATAAATTTACAACTTTTTCAAAAAACATTTTACTTACATCTTTCAAGTTTAATGGTTTTAATGATGCTCGAGTGTTCTTCATACCTTCTCCAGAACCAGAATTATTTCTATAAAATACATAAATACAAAACTAGTTAATAAAATGGATTATTTATGCACTGTTTTTAATTTAAAAACTTATGTTGTTTTTACTTTACTATAATTACTATAATAGTACTGACTATACAGTTAATTATATATAGAACTATAAAGTACAATAAAAATTTGTATACATTTGTGTAGCATCTTACATGTAAGAAAGATTATTATAAGTAGAACTATTTTCAGAATTTGAATTATCATTGATTGATAAATTGAAATGTTTTGTATTCTCTGACATATCTTCTTCTTGTTGAAAGGAATCATTTCCTAGTAGGACAAACAAATAAAATAGGTAACATATATATTAAATTACCATCAAAATAAACAACTTACCAACAGAACTACCAATAATTTCAGGGTCACTTAAACTATTTGTTAAAAGTTCAATTTTGTTAGTCATAAACGATACATTATTCATATCTTGTTTGAACAAAGAGTCTAGAAAAACAATAAAATAAAATGTATAAATAAATATATTTTTATGTACACATACGTACATATACATCAGTGGTTTTCAACCGGTGTGCCGCGATAAAACTATTAATAGTTTTATAATTTTGTATTTACCAGTATTATTATTGATATTCGGTGAGAACTGATAACTAACAAACATAAAGACAGGCTAATCGCTCATAATTAATCGTAGATACGTATAATAGCATTTAATATTAGTTTGCACAATATATAAATGTGTGTACCTATATATATATATATATATATATTATATACAAAAATATATGCTTCACATATTATATGGATTGGTGTGAATCAAAAATGTTGAAGGCAATGAAGTGTACTACATTGTTAAAAAGGTTGGAAACCACTGGTATACATGAATATCAAAAAATAATAAAATAATAAATTACCTTCAATATCTTCTTCATCAAAATCTTCAAGAGGAGCAATATCACTATTATTTGTGCTAAGAAGACTAGCCATACTCATCATATCCTCATCACTTAAAATAATAAATATAAACAAGATTAGCTGTATCGCCTGTATCTATCTACATTATTGAAGTTCTAAAAGTTATATCACTTATAACTAATAAACATGTAAATAATAAATCGTAGATGAATACAGAAAAACAGAAAAATAATCTTGTAACTTGTAGGTGGCAATACCAACCCTTATGGGAATAATTTAGGAGAAAAGCGAATAAAAATAAAATAGTGTAAATGTAGCACATTACAAAAAGTGTTCTAAATACTGAATTGTAAATGTCATGGTGAAGAAATATCTAAGTACCTACATTGTAAATGATTGCTCAAGGGAAGAAGATAAGGAGATTCAAGAGGAAATACAAATTCTTAGAGAGTAGTTAAAACAGAAATAGAATAAAAATAACATGGAAACGTTAATTAAGTATAATATATTTTAGCTACTGTAAATAACTTACGTAGCTTTTCCTTCTCTCAAAAATACACTTGTTATAGTCATTTCAAGAGATGCAGAAGTTATTTTTTTTGAAGTAGGTTTAAATACCAATGTAATTTGGCTTTGTGTAGAATCTACACTGGCGTGTTTTCTCATATTTAATACAGCAACTGCTATTTGTCGATGTTTTCCTAAATTACTCACCTAGAAAAAAATTAATAATATATTATGAATATTATTGTATGAACTTTTTCAAACAAGATACAATTAATACAAATGTAAGTTAATAATAATATTGTCAGTAGAAATTTAAAATTTACATAATTTTTTTTTTTTTTGGTAATTTACCAAGATAAATGTACGTAAGTTTTGTAAATTTTGATAATTTTGGTATGTTACCATAGGGACATCCCCAGGAACTCCTCTCAACCGAATTTTCATGAATTTATAGTTATGGTAACATTTATTTTTTTTATTTACTGTATAGAAGAGTGTTCAATTAGGATGGTCATTATTTTTTTATTTTTTGACCAATCCCCTACTTAGATTCCAATATGTATAGAAATAATATATAGGGATTTTGAACATAATCAGATAAGTTGAACCGGCGCCCCAAAGACCTCAAAAGTTTAACATTAAGTTTAATATTAGTATATTTAAAGAAAAAAACAAATTTTATTTTAATAAACAATTTATAATTATTTCTACATGTTTAATCAATAAATATTTTATTTTGCATGCATATTGTATTATAATAATTATTCCACAAGTGCTTTTGTTGGAATTTAAATAGTTTGGACGTTTTACATTTTATAATATCAACTATCTTCGATTCTATTAATATGTTATGAGTTATGACTGATGAATATTTGCCTCATTAAAACGTTTAATTTGAGGTGTCACATACAAATAAATGTAAAAAAATTATTGATTAATTTACGGGGTAAAAATTTGCCAAGCTTACATCTCTAATTGTCTGTACATAATATATAATGAGAATCAATGTTTCGAAATGATACATATTTTGTAAATGAGTGTTTATATTTTGCAAACATTTATGAACGATACCACAAATATCAAATAAAACTTGAATGAAATTTATTACACTAATAGTAATGTATTATAAAATTACTTATTCATATTATACATTTTTTATTTATTCATTAAGATTAAACAGGTTGAGCTCTTCTAACACACAAGTAATTTTCTCAAAGCTATAATAGTTATTTGTATTTTCTCATTTATTTAAATATTTTAAAAATAAAAGAAAAATCAGATGAAAACCGATCATTTTTTTAAGGACTTGAATGTGTTTTTTATAATTAAAGTGAACACGAACGAAAACTGTTTTAGTTTTACGCATGGAACTTGAACTACAACAAATTCAATTTTTAATTGAAAAGTACTTATTGATCAAATAGACTTGCAGTGAATCCAATACGCACCATTGTCAATAAAAACCAGTCAAATTGACAAAATACCTAAGCACTTAATAAAACATTCTTTATCTTGCAATACATTATCAATATACATATCATTATATCAAAAATGTTTTGAAAAAATATAAATCTTGCTTTAAATATAATAGTATAGATAAAAGTACAATGTTCTACTACTTACATCTTCAATAGCAAATGTCCATTCTTTGTCTTCATGCTCATTACTCCGAGGGTCTTTGAATAATGTTATGGACAGTTGCTTATTTTCTGGAACTGGCCAAATTACTACTCCTCGTAATGGGTCTCTCATTGTAGGTTCCCACGGTAATGCTTCACTGACAAAACGACGGCTTCTGCGACTTAACACAACAACCAATTTATTTGGAGTCCTAAAAGTACAATACAAAATAAATTATTAATTTATATTATGAGTTATAAAAAAACCTAATAACTGAAATCATAACATTTTTCAAAACATTGTTTATTTTATAAATACTTATTTGTATATTTAAACATAGAAAAAAAATATAATATTGTAGTAGTATTGTTAAATAAATTAGAAGAATTTAAAAAGTTTGTTAATTGTGTTTTAAAACTTTTAATTATTTATTAGATCTACCTGTAAAATGAAATACAGATAAATTAACTTTGATTTAAATGTATTACACTATTTTAATACTATTAAAGTCATATTTGATGTTATAATAATTGTATTTGTAATTATACATTTCTGCAATATATATATTATAGGGTGTAACAGGAAGACCTGACAGATAAAAAATGTAAAATTGAACCTAGTTAATAGTGTAAAAATATAATTATGAAAATTATATGGGTAATAAATAATTTGTTATGTACTTATGTCTGAAAATTTCTTGAATGAATATTTTGAAAAAATTTATTAGGTATCAAACTCATTAACTCCGAAAAAATACTGTTCCTTTAAAAAATTGCAAAAAAAATATTTTGACTTCTATAAATGTATTTAACATCAACATTTATCTAAAAATTAGATTATTTTACAAATTTACTATTTTGAATTTTTCAAAAAAAAATATTAATACATTTTATACTATAGGTTCTTATAGCGCAAGTGTATATAAAATTATTATCATAAAATTTTTTTAAATACTGAAGATAACAAAAGGAATCTAATTTACCGGATTAGTATGTTACACCTTGTATACATATAACTTAAATCAATTTAGGTATGTAATATAATAATAAAATCATTTTGAAGTCAACAAAAAAAACCCTTACCATTTAGAAGTAGTTTCACATATTATTTGATGATATGATAATGTAAATTGAAATTTGGTTGCTCTTTTATTCACTCTTTGAAGCCGTTTCCACACTGAAGCCATATTTATTGACACATTGGATATCTTTCTTTTTAACTTGAATTTCATCATTGTTGAAAAATAAAATAATGTTTATAAAAATATATTTTTTAAAGAAAATATTAAAAGGCACAAGTTATTCTAATAGAATTTGATAAGCGACCATTGCTGTTGCCTAGGTGTTAGTGGCATGAATGTACTATCAAAACTAAAAATGTATAATAAATAATAAAATAATTATGAACTAAACTAATATTATCTCAAATGACCTTTGACCACTAATAAATTATATATTCCTTATCTGAATTTCTGTTTTCCTCTTTATTATAGATGGATAAACATTTATTTAGAATTATTATTTTAGTTTATATTTATAATCAATCATAAAATGTATGTAAATAATTTTATTTGTGTATATTTTTTTTATTTCCACTAAATTATTCTTAGCCTTAAGAATATTTTAGTAAGTTAGTTATTTAATTTTTTATAATGATTTTTAAATATTAAAATTAAACAATTAACAAAATACTTTGAGATAGATATTTAGTACCTTACTATTAGATAAAATATTATTAATATTAAATTATTAAATAATGCCAAAATTAGTCAGTGTAAAATACCAATCAATTTTATATTGCTATATTATAATTACTATACTTAAAAACTAAATAGATTAATTAGAAACACTAATCTTGATAATTAAATTGTTAAAATAATATATAAACACCATAATAAAATGTATTTTAGTTTCAATAGAAAGTAGTTAACATCCTAATTAAAGTTAAAAGCTTCTTATAGTTTGTTTTCACTATTATTAGATAAATAAATAATAAAAACTTTTAATACAATAATATTAATTATTATTTAAAACAGATTTTAAATATAAACATAGGTATTTTAATTGATTATATTATGTGAACGAAAGTTGTTGACATTTATGATACATTACTAGAATTTTAGTATGACTATTAGAATAACTTTATAATTCAACAAAAGAAAATTTCTATTCATTTTAAATATTTAGTTTGATAATTATTCATTAGAACATGTAAGTACTAGTACTTCTATATAATTAATATTCAAAACGATGTAAAAATAAAATTATTCATACAAGACATAAAAAGGTTAATCAGTTTGAAATATTCATATCAATTGAAATAGGTAAGTAATAGTACAAGATATGATTAATACACAAAAGTATAACAATAAGGTTAGTTAAACTCACAATATTGCAGTAAAACAACAGTAACTTACTATACAAATACTATTGTAATTGTAATTAAATTTATTAATCTATTATCTTACTTCAAATAAAGTTAAAATTAGATTAAAGCTAAAAATGTAAAAATATTAAAAACTTAATGTACCCCATTAAATTATTAATGAATTATAATCTTCATCATTCATATTTAAAAAAAATGTTAAATTGTATATACCAAAGGTATTCAAACTTTTGTATTCCATTCCTTTGGCTCCTTTGTCTTTCATAAAATTTTGGTGATTTTCAAAGACACAGAAAAAAAATGTTTTAATATTTAAATAAGGGTTTAAATATTTATAATAATATATATTATAAATACATGAATTATATCAAGATAACAAATGTAACAATAATTATGCATAGAAAACTGAAATTAAAAGTTTTACATATATACTCCGGCCCATAAGAGTCCATATGTCCAAACGGGTCCGTCTCTGCGCATCTGCATGTTGCCAAATAGTGGGAATGACATCATGGTGGGAGAAAACAGACATCGTGTATTACTATATCGATGCGCGGTTTACGTATGGACTCTCGTGGGCCGGAGTATAGAATAAAACAATACATTAATCGTCATTAACGTTTTTTCCCTCTTTTGTACAGAGTCTCCCATGACAAATACTCTAAATAGCCTTTGGAGCTGTGACACACAGTTTGAATACCTCTGGTATATACAAAATTTAAAACAATTTCGGAAAATAATTAAAAAAGAAAATGTAGGTACCTAGTTATGTTTAAAAAATAAATAATATTTTAAATTGTATTTAACATTCTAAGATTTGTAGAGTACAACAATATATTCTGACATGTTGGCAATCTACCAATTTAATAATCATAAATGAAATCCCTCGAAATACACATGCATGTGAACAAAAAAACAATAATAATTTGGCAATAACTAGACAAATTAATTTATAAATAGCTATTCTGGATGCGCATTTAAATCTTAAAGTTATAGGTAGATCATTAATTATTTATAAATTTTATTCCAAATTAATTATTTTTCATAAAATTATTGAAATATATTAAAAAATAAAATTATAACTTCACCATTCAATGTTACTTACATAGTACCCACCTAAGTAATTAGATAGTTAAGGGAAAACTTTAATAGTTCATAATAAGCATAGTTTAATTTACAAATTGTTATGTTAATAATTCAAACATATATAAATATATAGAACATAAACAGGAATTAAAAGCCATTTTTAAAAAACCTAATTTTATCTGCTAAGGTCATAACCTTAATATGAAACAGTAATAAGTAAAATATGAAGAATATTCTATATGTCTAAAGTTCTGAGGGATGACTTTTAAATCAATTCTTCGACTACAATTTACAATATTGATAAATATGTAATAATACCAGATAATTTACATCGTAAGTTAAATATATTTGCTTTGAGCTATCGTACTGACCTCTTAAGAAATAAAAAATGTGGTAGGGTTAAATTTTTTTATAGAATACTTACCAGAAACAAAAAAATAATGATATCAATAATTATAAAAAGTAAGAACACACATATTTATCAATTGCTTAATCAACAGTCAAAACGTTCAAACACATAAGCATTGGTACTCACAAATGTTATCAGAGGGGAACAGATTTTAGGTAGAAGGTATTGGTATGTAACTAACATAACTAAATTAAATTCGTAATTTTACATATTTTAAGTTCTTACTACAATTTTTAATTTTTACTAAAAAAGTGTTTTATAGGTACCAATAACATAATTTTTTTTAATTAAAAATTGCTGTCTTTTTTGTTACGTGGAAAACAATTTGAAACAATGTACATTTTGAACATTTTGATTTTAATAATTTGCTTTAATTGTTAGAAATATTTACTTGTTTGTTAGGATAATGCGATAAAAAAAAATACATGAAATTCATTTATGTAGGAAATATGACTATCTAGTTTATTGCTGAAATATTTAAAAATGTTTATTTATTCTAAAATATTTAAAATATAATTTATGTCTATTTATTCACGATTTAATTTAACATACTCAACAGTACTCAACTACACTAAACTTTTGAAATATTCAAACTACAAAAAAATAATTATTTAATGAAAATCTGTTCTTTATCAGTATTGAGGTCTCTATTGAGGTATTCAATTATTAATTTTGGCTTTAAGTAAAATTAAACATTTACATATTATTTCTATACACCAAATCAAAATTATATTTGCTTAAATGAAAAGTTCTAAAAATGTTGTCTTTCAATTTAGTTAAATAATAATATAGCAAGTATAGAGAATAATATATACCTCTGTACATAGTTAGTATATAATAAAATATTTATTCATTTTATCAAAGAAAATACTAAAGAACCTATCAAAACTATATTTTATCCTGGTAAATTTGTTGTAGTTCTTAACTTTAATTTAATATCTAATCATAAAAAAAAACAAAACAATGCATTTAATAATTTAATAATTTTAAAGCCATTCATTTAAGAACCTATTAATACAATATTTTGCTCAACTCATTTTTTCAAAGAATACCAGAATATAGATAAATTTCAATTTGGCAATTCCATAATATTAAATAATGACTATTATATAAAATGTAGAAAGTTAACTTAAAGGTAAGTACTTAAGTGAATTGTATTAAATCCATTTTAATTGTAATATTGATTGTGAAGAAGTAGGTGTACAAACAAATATTAATATTTAAAATTTTATTAATATTCAAAAAAGAAAAATAATTCAGGTAGGTAGGATAATTAAACAAATTAAATTATGTTATGCATGTTATAAAAATATGTTTTTTTTATTCATTTCAAACCACCTAGGTAGTTGTCTTTCAATTCATTATTAGTTTGAGCATAACACTAATAGGTATTGGTTAATTATTTAAAATTTAAAATTGCAAGTATGATGTTATATGCAGAACTTTTAATTTCAGTACTTATGTTTTGAAATTAAAGCCAACATAGGTACTAAAAGTAATGAAAAAGATATTATGTAAAACCAAAAATTATTCTCCAATGTCAGTAACAGTAGGTACATCAAACTACACACACTACCTATTTAATGGTCAGAAATTGCAATCGCAATGTAAATGTTATCGTAACGATATGATGTGTAATAATTTACCTATTAAAAAATAGCCAACAATTTAACAAAAAGTATGTGACTTACTCGGCAGAAATGATTTGATTGGATTATTTCCTGAGTTCTGTAGATCGTTTACCAGTCAGTTAAAAACCAGATAATATATTCAGCAACGAATCGATCTCTAAAGTACACACCCATCGCCGTCATCGTATTTTGATTGCGATACAATTTTTTTTCACGGCAGAACAACGGAACAAACGCTGAACACCATTATTATTATTTATTCATCCTTCTTCGAGACGACCTATTGAGTATCGACAACGAGCAATTGGTTATTTCGATTTTCGAAGGAAAATCACGGCACTGATAACAATAACAAATTGATTAGTAAAACGAAAGGGGACTAGAGCCAACTGATCTACCGAGGGCCAATAGAGTCGCAACCGTTGTCTCTACCGTCAATTACTGCTCCCCTTAGGCCTGATTAACCATTATTTAGCCGATTAGCGTGATATTATAATCGTTTCAAGGGTACCCACAACAACTTACGGACCACGGTCTACTGTCTACGATAAAATATCATAAACCTCATAGTAGCATGTAAATTGTATAAGGTCTATGTGGTAAATAGTTGTTGCACAACGCCACCTGCCACAGCTATAGCTTACGATTATTTAAATAATTTTTTCGCCCGATGACTATTAGGTATAGAGGTATCCACCTACTCGATTCACAACGATACCTATG